CTTTTGAGATTAAGTAAATAAATTATACAATTAACTAAAAATAATATGTTACCAAAAAATTAATAAATATTTAATTTGTAATCATGTATTTCAAAAAGTGAAAAAAATTCACTTAAAATAATATAAAAGGCCTCACTCAGATTTATCTTTTTAGTCCTCTAATTATCTCAAGTCAACATTGACGTTAAACTAGCAAACTCAAAAATAATTAGAGAGATTTAGTAGACAGATACACCAATTTAGAAGATATTAGTATATCGATGTAAAACAATCTCTAGTACAGTGAAATTTTACGGCGAGAAAATTATGCTACAAATGTGTGGATTTCTGTATCTATGAATTTATCTAAGCAAGCCAAACAAAAACACAAGGTGAGAGAGCGGTACTCTGTTGAATTTCTCTACTGTCTAATTTTTTATTTTTTTTTCCTGGATTTGGATGGTAAAGTTTTGTTCTCTACAGTCACACTGTGGACTGAAATGGATCTTTGGATAATGGGTTGTTTGGGAAGAGTAGGGTAGAGTGTGGGGTATGATGTATCAGTTTTGGAGTTAATGCCAGCCCCATGATGTGAAGTGAAATCCATAAACACAAAGGCTTGGGACAGGTATGTGACACAATTGCATTCACGTTTCTACCTTTGTTTGTGTCATTTTCTATCCCTTCAATTTTTACCAGATATTTGTGGCATGATTGCAATTAACTTTAAGAAGCTGTAACTTGGAGTAAGTTTTTCCAACTACTTACAGGTCCATTGAGGCTGTTTCGTAGTAGTGACCAAATATTAGAGCAGCTTCTCTAAAATCAGGGTTATTTGTTTCATTTTTTGTAATAACTTTCTTTTAAAATTTTTATTTTTTTGGGAGGGGGAAGGAAAAGGGAAAAAGAGATTTAAACCCTTGATCTCAAAAAGACAATCTTTTAAAAGTCGCGGTTTGCTACATAAAACTAAGGATACATGTAATACTTACAAACTAGGTATATTAAACAAAGGGGTAAATTACACTCGTGAAGTATTATCCCTTTTTTTCACTTTGTCCCCTCAACTATCTGATTTTTCACATTGCACTCTTTGATTAATTTCACATTGCCTCAATTATTAACATCCGTTTTATATTTAATAAAAATTTATTTTATTTAGCTCCCCATATTATGTAATTTCTATCACTTTACTCTGACATGTCAACGTTTTTCGTCCAAAACGATAACAGACGTTTCTGATTGGAACAATGTCAAATAAAAGTGTTAGAAATTTGGTAGTTGAGGGGGCAAAATAGAAAAAGAGTGATAATTTAGGGGTGTAAATATAATTTACTTTTAAACCAATAAAAATATCTCTCGCAACAATCAAGCTTCAAAATTAGGACATCAAGATATTAATACTGAAGCTTTGGCATCTAAACTACTTTAATGTGTTAGATTTACCTTATTTGATCGATGTATTACTTAAATGAAATAAAAAAAGCGTGGATGAAATTTGAAACTAAAAAAAAAGCTAGTGTAATAAAAAAATACAAAATGCGATAGAACATGAGGGAAATAAAGAACCATGCACATTGATGATAGAAACGAAAAATATTTTATAAATAGGTACTTGGATTAGATCGGACTAGAGAGAGCAATAAGTGTTGCTTAGGAAAATCGGAATTGGTCAATTTTTATTTTTATTTTTTGATACAAAACGATAATTAGGGTGAATTCAACTTTTCCAATACAGAAAAAAGTTGGGAGGAGAAATTCTTTCCAATATAGACATTGTAAGAGCCTCAAATGTCTACAACTTTGAGTAACGAAAGACCTTTAATTATAAGATTCTAGTAGTTTTCTATGGTTTTAATGAGGAGGATGTTTTTTTTTTCCTTACAGAAAATAGAGTAGATCTAAGTGGAAAAATTCCTCCCTGGCGTTTTACTTTTTCTTCCAAGGGTGGTTTTTCTTTTCCTAAAGGACGGTCAAATCATATCCATTGGATCAACACAAGTTGGTTGGATCAATAGAAGATGCGTGCAAGCCATGATAGACCGGAAGATGCCACGCAAGTTACGAAAACTAAGATTCTTTCTAGGAGGGATGAGGGAAAGAGGGAATGACGCCTCTAAACCCCTAATTACTTACGTAAGAGTGAGCCTTTATCACTTTACCAGTCTTTCACCTCGCAAAGCGCATGTATACTCACCTTTAATATACTACTAATAATTTCATTTTTTCTACCAAATACCCGTCAATGCCACAATGAACAGAGGATAACATGATGACTCAATACGTCTATTAATGAATTGAATTTCTAGTCAAAATTTTGTGTTGTATTAACATGTATAACTTTCAAATTAGAGGACTTGGAAATTGTTTATTGCCATTTATATAGACTTAGTCGATTTTTAGTTTATAAAAAAAGTTATGATTCATAAGTTTGGTTGAGAAAATTAGATCATAATCATAGATTATAATTTACAGATTATACAATACGACGCTAGTACTTTACAAGAATTCAAAATATACAATTCAAGTACGACTCAAAACCGCTTGGATACCCCATTCTTTAAACCATGCCCTGCCGTAGCAGTACATCTCACATGATAAGCTGTTTCTTATTACCAACCATTGCCATCTTTTTGTCTTGCTTAGTCAGAATCCTTCAAACAATTGAAAGATTCACAGACATTCTACGTGCTCTTTATATATTTATATATTCAGATCTTAGTCTTACATTCACGCGGTTCACTAAAGCCAAGATTTCCTTTTCTTTATTCTGGAATGATGAGCTTTGATCTCGTATTTAGTTACCTATTAAGATCCATTCTAGTATTAGATTCTTAGGAGAAGACTATGGTACCAAAAAAAAAAAAATGTACCTTCAAATTTTATAATTTTAATGAGTGTTTTTATAATTTTTGTTGGTAATTTATAACTTTTGTGTGCGTTTTTCGATTGCCCTTTGATTGCTTTCGTTAGAGTGTGCCACTCACGTGATCGTATAACACAAAAATAATTCAATTGACACAATTAAAGAGTTCAGGAGTTCAACTGACACACAAAAAGAGTTCGAGGACGGCATTGACATAAAAGTCTTAGTTTGAGACCATATGTGTAATTTACTCCAACGCATTTGTGTCTATGACACACTTTGCCACTTTCCGTTAGAAAATTTAATGGAGGTAGACAGAAGGGTTCAATTGATATAATTGGAGAGTTTAAGTGTTTAATTAACACAATTAGAGAGTTTAGAGGCTTAATTGATATAATTAGAGTATTCAATAGCTCAATTGACATCAAAAAAAATAGAGATTTAATTACACGAGGGTCATAATTCGAGTAAAGGTTTAAATTTTCGTTGATTTGAATAAAAATTTGAATTTTTGTTGATTTCATATGACTTTAAGTATGTGATTGAAGAAGATTTTCGGGCTATTTTTTACCCAAATTTAAATATGAGCCTAAAAAAGAGTAAGGATGAAAATACCCGTAAAAGACTCATTTTGAATATTATGATCCCGTAGAATTCTGAAAAAAAAAAATTTGAAACAAAGGTGTGTCTAAGACGCTAAAGCCTTGTCTTTAATTATGTACAATAATAAGCAACTTTAATTGATTTTTAATTGATTGGATTTGTTTCCTAGCAAAATTCATTCATTGGCAGATTACTAAATTTGTTAGTATGGTAAGTAATAAATAATAATTGCAATAATAAATAAAACTGCATATGTGACATTTTTAGTGGTCCATAAGCTCCTTTGCCCTCTATATTTTTTTTTTTTTAACTTGTTTTAAATAATCCATTTGCTTCTACAGGACATCAAATCTACTTGTTGAAGCAGGCAATACATGTGGACCAGGACCACATAGAATTCAAAACAATTGTAGAAATGGATTTGAATCCTTTCAATAAAAATTTAGCCATTTTTTTTATAGCTGATTATTAAAATGAATTTAGATAGAATTTTAGTATATAAGCAAGTTTTTGTTTTTGATTCGACGGTCAAAGATGTCTAGGTCAGATTACGCGTATTTCGACTAATTTCCTTTCCTATACGGTCAAAGACAGTTCATCCACGCTGAAACTGAGATATTCATGAAACTCGTTTCTATTATCACTTCAGCTATTCTTTTAAAGTTTTAAGTAGGTTTTCTATTAATATACGATTACTGATTAATAGTTGATTTGTGCAATGGTGGTTACCTGTTCGAATCGTGAAAATAATTTTTTTGTTTGCAGAGATAAGATTAAATACATCTAACATTCTCTAGACGCACAATAACAGAAGACTCGTGCATTAGATATGCTATTTAATTAAATAAATTACACGTGAAAGTATACTGATAAAAAAATTAACGTGATCACCTCTAGTGCTTGAATTTCAAGTTAGGACTTTTTTTTTTTTTTCTTTTCTATTTTTGTTAAATAATTAAGAATATCCGAGACAATTTAAGTACGTTTTAACAAATTTTCTCTCAATCTGATCCAAGACAGACAGAGACGCTTCGCGTAAAAAGAAATTCGAACCACTAAAACATAACTTTTTAGTGTTCATCCAAAAACTTTTATTAACACGTGTAGCTACATTATTGGTTCCCACTAAACGCGGAAATTTGGTATTTATCAAACCTCCTTTTGGCATTTTCCTAACTATCTTTCAAATTTGATGATACAAATATTAATATTTATAGTAACGTTATTCTGATAAAAAAAATAGATTTAAAATAGGGATCAAAATGACCCGACTGATCTGCTTTTGATCAAATTAGAGAAGAGATTAATTGAAAAATGCATATATTGATTTAAACATCTCTTACCGTTAAATTTAAAACAAAAAAGATAATTTTACATTCAAAATGAGTAATTGGTGTAAATAGTATTTTTTATTTAAAATTATTTAAAAGTAAATCTGAATATATTTTATTAAAAATTTGAAAGATCGTACTCAACTTCCCTTGGAAGGTATGGACTTGGTCTGACCATATTCATTAAAAATACAAAAATTCTGCATTGACAAAAAAAAAATTATTAAAGAAAATAAAAACTCAGCTTTCAAAAGTGAAAGTTGAGAAAGATCGGTGCACCATAAATGATAAATCTGGTACTCAGATGCCTTCTTAATTTCTGTCCCTCTATCTCTCTCTCTCTCTCTAACAAGGCTCCAAAGCTATAGTCTCTGCAACGTTTTTGGTTCTTCATTGGAGTCGTCATATGCGTATATAGACATCAGCGAATACAGTCGTCATATATACATACATGTATGTGTGTATGAGTTTTATATCAGTACAGTTGCTTTGTTTGTTTTGCTTTTCTCACGAAAGTTGATTCCTTTCTCGCAGAAACTATGGGCTTCCGTTGAGGAAAAGATCATCTCGGAACAGCAAATTTTCTGGGTCTCTTTATAACAAATTCTTGTTTTTTTCGCGTGAATTGTGTCTTTGAAGTCCAAGGACTTTCTCATCATTTTCTTGGGTTTTCTTTCTTTTCTCACTCATAGATTGCGCCAAATCTGGGAGGAGTTTCTTGGGATTTCAAAATTTCCCCCGTCATTTTCCCGGAAAATATTTGATCTTCAACAGTTTTTTGGCCTTTGTGGGTTTTGATTAACTTCGAATCATAGACTGTTTCTTGTGGTGGGTTTTGAGTTTTCTTCAAGTTAGATTTTTATTTGTAGTTTTTGGGTTTTTTAAGTGTTTGACGAGAAAATCTTGCCGGAGAAAGAATTTGCGGGTGACTTAAAAAGGGTTTGGATTGTCAAAGTTTTCGTTGTCTGCCAATATTTTAGAGAGAGATTGATGTCTCATTTCCACAAATTGGCTGTCTAAGCGTCAAGAATAGAATTCGTGTAAACCGGTTTGCATTCTCTCTCTCTCTCTCTCTCTAACTCAAGGGAAAGGAAATCCCGTTAATTTCTCTCTTCCTCTCCCATCTTTTTTCTCTCTCTAGCCTCTCTGTTTTCATCTGTTCTCTGTGTTTCCTCTGTTTACAGGGTTTGGAGAGAGAATCACTGAAATCTCTCTCTCTCTCTGCCTCTCCCTATTGTTCTCTCTCTGGAGCAATGATTTTTGACAAAGGATCAATGCAATCAAACCTGGAGTGCTTTCTCGATTGCATAACACCTGTGGTCCCATCCCAATTTATTCCCAAGGTTGGTTTCATTTTTCATATATTTTTTTTTGTCAGAAAAGTTGGTATTGATTGAACTATGTCTCTATGATTGCGATGATTGTTCATATAGTTTGATGATTCTTGATTTTCTTGCAGAGCGAGACTAGAAACCTTAATAGGCTATGGCATCCTTGGGAGAGAGAAAAAGTTGAATACTTTAGATTGGGTGATCTTTGGAATTGTTTTGATGAATGGAGTGCTTATGGGACGGGAGTTCCGATCAATTTGGACGGCGGTGAAACCCTGGTTCAGTACTATGTGCCTTATCTCTCTGCAATTCAAATCTTTACTAGCAATTCCTCATTGAATTGCTTGAGGTACCAATATCAATCCTTACACTTGCAATTTGATACAGTTCATAGTTATAAACTGAATTGCTACTTATGCAGAAGTCTTCAATTGATTGATTTCGAGTTTTATATTACGTTTCGTTTATAGTGCTCAAATTCAAGTATTTGTTACCCAAAGTTTGATGATTGTGGTGATTAGCTGCTTCTGATTGGTACTAATGTTAAGATATATTTACCTTTGGGATTTTTTTTTCTTGAGATATCAAATACCAATCTATTAGTCTGGCTGCTAAATGCCCTTTTTTTTTTGGGGCCTAATTTGAGACTTTGAAAGAATTTCTAATTGCTGGTTGTTATTATGGTTGTCTATGATTTAATCATGGTATTGTTCTAAAGTCTTCGAATTAAGGTTCTTGTATCAGAGGAAGTGCTGATGAAGTTTGATGAATGCAATATGTTATAGGGAAGAGACTGAGTCGGTGTATGAGACGAGGGACTCTTTTAGTGATTGGTACAGCGATGAGAGCGAGAGCGAAAAGCTATCGGGATGGGATGGGTGTTCATCTGAGGAAGGAGTGTTTGAGCAAGAAAGCCTCAGGCATCTGAATGATAGATTGGGCTACCTATACTTTCAGTACTTTGAGAGAACAACTCCTTACGGAAGAGTTCCTCTCATGGATAAGGTAACACGTACCAGTCAATGTTGCTTTGTGCCCTGTTCTAAATTTTGAGCTTTCTTATTTTCATAGCCTTTTCTCTGTCTTAGCCTTCTCTTTTGGTTGGGATTTCTTACAGCGAATACTAATTACTAAACATCGAAGTGATAAATTTGTTGTGGATATTTTAGATTGATTTGAATTCTTTTTCGTGATAGGCATCTTAAAAAGATCTTGAAACTTTTGACTGCAATGCTTCTTTTTCTCTATTGCTTTTATAGAATTGTTGTTGTCAGCTATTTATCATCTTTATTCTATGCTCTTTCTCTCCCCAATGGATTAATGAAAAAGCATATGTTCTTCCCTTTGATGTATTGTCCTTCCCTAAATGTCATTGCTTGTGAAAAGAAATTCTTGATTCTTCATGAAACACAACAATGCAATTTTTGGATGATGGTGACCGTCTAAATTATAACCCTTCTTTTCCTTTGCTTTCAGATCAGTGGATTATCTAGAAGATACCCTGGATTAATGTCATTAAGAAGTGTGGATCTTTCACCCGCTAGTTGGATGGCAGTTGCTTGGTCTCTCTCTCTCTCTCTCTCTCTCTCTCTCTCTCTCTTTCCATTTATTTGATGATTTACAATTTGAAGATGCTAATTCAAATTTTTTTTATCATAGATTCTATAAATAGATAGACTTATTCAATGCCACTTCTCTAATTCTAGTTCCATTATTGTAATTCTTTAAACAAAAGTAATTCAATGTTTGCTGATTTAAGCCAATTATTCGATATTATTTGTTTTCAGGTATCCAATTTATCACATCCCCATGGGAAGAACCATAAAGGGGTTATCTACTTGCTTCCTCACATACCACACTCTTTCATCATCTTTTCAAGGTATTCTTGTGGTCCATCTGACTTGGCTTTGCATATTTTCATATTACATTTTCAATTTATTCGTTGCTTATGTATAATGTGCTTGTCTATGTCAATGCCCAGATATGGAACTCGAAAATGAGATGGGGAGTGCTGAAAAGGAGCGAAAAAAAGTGGAAGGCATTTCTCTACCGCCATTTGGTTTGGCCACTTATAAGATGCAAGGAAACGTGTGGATCTCGGACAAGAGTGGTCGGGACCAAGAGAGGCTGGTGTCACTATTGAGTGTGGCAGATTCCTGGCTAAAGCAGTTGAGGGTCCAACATCATGACTTCAACTACTTCACTGGGATTCGGCGTGGCTGAACTCCACTAACCTCACAATTTGATGAATTCCCCAAAATAGATGACTGTTAGCATCCCTTTTTTGGCCTTTGGTTATTGTGTTCTTGCTTGGAGATTTGAAGGACCTGTGTTAGAGTGAGCGGATTGTAGTTGATCTTCAATGGTGAGGTGTTTTCTGGACCAGGCTGTAGAGACCCTTTGATGTCAAGGCTTACTTTAGTAAAGTGGACTCTTTTTTCCTTTGGAGTTTTTGCTACCCTTTTTAGTGGAGAGAGGGGACATGTCTATGAGGTCAAAAATAGGTGGAGAGAGAGAGAGAGAGAGAGAGCGAAGCCTATGAGGCTCTTTTACTGTGAATTTCTTTCAATGGTGTATTATATTTTGCTTGACAATGGAGCCTCTGTACATGAGGGGCAATGGTTTCAGCTTTTGCACAAGAAAGAAGTACCTTTTGGGGGCTCGTATCTTCAACATTTTGATTTCTTGTTCTCTTTAGTAGTTAACTATTTGTGGTTGAGCTATGATATAGGGACTTAACTGGGGACTAATTAGGGATCTAATTCAATATTATTATTGATATAGACCATGTGAGTTCCAGTGTTAAGTGAAACTTACTTTCTCTTGGGTTTTGTTTGAGGGTGGGTTTTGGCGTAGAGGTAAGAGTGTCATTTTTGCTTGGGTATTTTCATGCGATGGTAAGATTGTATATATCTAACCTTTTTTAGATCTAGTAGTGGTGGAAGTCTTGTGCATTAAACCATATTTTTATTCTCTTCGCGTTCTTTTTTTATTTGGGGAAAATAACCAATAAGTATTATTTTTTCCGACAAACATCCATTAAGAGTTATCATTTTTGTTTTATATTTGAAGTCCAAATCTTGATATTTTATCTCAATGAAGTCCTAAATTTCATAAATACTACATTTTTGTTAAAATTCTACCATTTTCTTGACAAATATTGACACCTAAGATATTGGAGATATAATAACATTAGTTATCTTCTATTCATACATATATTCTGCCTTTTTTTTAAAAAAATTATGTATTGCCTACTTGATAATTTTATGAAAAATTTAATTACTAATAATTTTTAGAATTGTTATTATGAGATACAATAAAGAGTTTTTGACCTTAGTATTCTCGATGAACATGAGTTTCACGACAAAAACTCTAATACTTTGTGATTTTTGAATCACGATTGAAATGAATATTAGCACCTAAACAAAAATTGAGCATCCACGTGTCTGTAACTATAACTTCAATAAAAATTTGACATTATTTTATAAAAAAAAAAGAAAGTAAATTAACTCGTATAAAAAGGAATGACAATTGATAGTGGATCAATTGTCATCCCTTTTTATAAAACAAAAATGATAGAACTTAATAGATATTTGTAAAAAAAAAAATAATACTTATGAGTAATTTTTTTTTCATTTCTTATATTTGTACTAAAGGACAAAGGATAAGGATCAAGAATTATCTGTATATAAAGTAGGCTTAGGGAAAAAAATGCACCACACGGAATTTTAGAGTCTAGATCCATTGGTCACCTATTTAGTTAGGTAGCTAGTCCCATGTACCAAAGTCAAGTGTCCACGAATGTCCTGTGGTCATGGCAATTAAGCAATGGCCATTAAGTGGCTTGTGGTACGAAAATTGGCTAACTTGGGTGTGTAGCAATTAGTCACTGGCTCATCCGTTAAGCGAAAGGTATCGAATAATTCTGTGATTCTCATTTGAACCCGTCATTAATCATATTTATTCTTATGTTAATATCGACACGTTTAAAGACTAATTTCTCAATTTTTATTTGAACGGGTCATTACTCGGGTTTATCATTGTTATCTTAATCTAAACATTGTATACTATGGTCTCAATTGTATAATCGGGAGAAATTGTCAGTGGGGAGGAGAGAAAAAACAATATATGACTTTGACTTGTTAGAAATGCACATTGAAAATGTCTTGTCATTGTTAATTTAAGGGTAAGGACGAGATTGTTTGAATCAGCTGTTAGGACTCTTTGCGAAGCTTCTGATGGCATACGTTTGGGATGAAAAAGGTTGTTGCATTTGTAGAAAAGTCTAAAACCATTAGAATGGTGGGTCTCACCAAGTTAAATAAATTATTAAATTGTCCCCAGTTTATGGTGCAAAAAAAAAGTCTTCATACAAACCAGCTTTTCCCAAGTTTAGACTTGTCAATAGATCAGAGTTTGGATCAGGTTTTAATTGATTTAAATTTGAAAGTTTAATTTGAATTTGATTTGATAATTTGATGAATTTTATTTTTATAATTCATATTCGAATCTTTTAACAATTCAAAATTTTAATTTGATCTGAATAGCTAAATTAACTAAATTTTATTAAATTATACCTACATTTTATCTTATTTATTTAAATAATAACTTAATTTCTTTAATATTTATGTAGAAAGATATAAATAATTCGGATCAATTCATAATTGAATATACATATATCCAAATCTAGATCAGTGAAATATAACATATTGAATTCGAATTATCAATAAAAAATATCAACTTGTATCCGACTAATCATATTCAAATTAAAATCTGATTCATTGACCGGTTTAACCAAGTTAGGTGTCTTCCACATAACCTCCCGTTTGTGCTGTTTCAGAAACAACCTTAATGATTTTGGTTTTGGTTCAGGTATAATAGAGGAAGAATTGATTTACTTTAATCTATATTAGTGGTAATAATTTGTGACGATGCACAAAAGCAGATTTATGCACAATCAAATTAGTCGAGTGTGATGTAAAACAATTAATGAAACACTTACTAATAAGAAACAAAGATTGGGTGGTTGAGTTTGAGTGACTCAACCACTAAAGGTAGCGACAGTGACCGAAAAATTTTATTACTCCCTCCGTTCCTAAATATCTATCGTTTAAGATTTTTACACATAAATTAAGGAAGTTATTAAATAGTTCTAATATGAGTAAAAAATAATTATACAAGACTAAAATATCCTTATTTAATATGTATTGAGAAGGAAAGGAATATGAAAGACATTTAGCCTCTACAAATCTAATACATCGAAAAGTTAAGGGTAAATTGAAAAGAAAAAAAATTAATTATGTTTTAATTTCATTAAACGATAAACATTATGGAACAACAAATTTGTATAAAACGACATATATTTAGGAATGAAAGGAATAATAAAGTAGTAAGTGAGAGAGAGAGAGAGAGAGCGAGAGAACAAACATTAGTGTGGTGAGATAGTTATATGAGAGAGATAGCTGTGTGAGAGATGTATTAAGGGTTAGACACAGAGCCTTAATTGAGATGGTGGCATGAATGGTAGGTTACTAGTTTTTCAGAGACGATAGTTACAATTACGGATAAGTACAATTAAGAACATGTGTGATCTTCGAGAGTGGTTATCTCGATGATTACTCTCCACGTGCATTGATCTTCTTGGGTCTCTTGAATTTTGAATTGGACCGAGCCCCGGACTAAATTGAGGTCATGAGCAGAGTTTGGCCCGCCTTCCAACTGATTTGGGTTTTTCCCATGACTGGGCTTGGACCAATTGGATTTGAGCTCATCAATTTGCATAATTATTATTTTTTTCTCTTGGGTTATATCGTGGTTGAATCAAGGTTTAAATAATTTACAGTTTCATTATACTTATACTGAGGATTGGAGATTAATGCATTATATTAAATTAAGAAAAATGAAAGCAACTTGCATTAATGTATTTGACTCTAATCTATTAGGTATATTCTTCACGTCTTGGATCATCTTGGATATTAATGTCGCTCAGGTTTTGTTTAGACCACGCATTATAGAATATTACTTTAAATATGATAATCTGCAAGTAAAAGTGAACTCCTACCACTGAATTACTCTCTTATCCCGCACTAGAATAATTTAGACTCACCATACTCTATGTCTATTATATCTAAGCTCCATAATGCGTATGCATTACATCACTTGCAGCTTTCTCCTAATTATATGAAAAGCAGGAGGTGGAAAATGCAATTTTAAAAACCTGAGGGGAAGGGGGATAGAACCTTCTAGGCCTCAAAGTGGCATCATTACTAATTAAGCTATATGTATTAGGTATGTT